TTTGGGATTAACAACTCACTTAGAAGAGTAAATCCGTTCCTGCGAGGTCGCGTTCTGCTCGGACGATTTGGAAGCCTTCCTCTACTCCGATTGATGCAAACTAGACCTTCACGGATTCCTCGTCTTGAGAGCTTTCTTTTGGTATCTCACACGCCTTAATTGGATTGGTATAACTCGAGATATCAACCAAACAGTCTCAGCACTCTCACAGCTCGAGTTCACAGACCCCTGCTCGCTTCAGATCGATTTTTGGATGATTACTCACTCCTCTCGAACAGAGACCACTCAATTATGAAAATAGACTTCAAAGGCTATCCAAGGACACCTTATACACCTCATTTGGACGAGTACAACTCTCAAAATGAAGGGAGACAAAACAGTACACCTGTTTGTGCGAAAACAGTGGTGGTGGCCCCAAAATTTGATTCCAATTGTGTCATGGGCAGTGCTTCTCCATGTGGTGCGGCCAAGGTGAGTCTTCTCACATATTTTCCTTGTCTTGCAGGTACTAATATCATGTGGAGTGGTTCCCCATTGATCCCAATTATTTTGGGATCCAAAATATCTATCAATACACCCAAAAATGGAAAGATGGGTCCTATTGTTTTATCTTTGTCAAACGATGTCTTTTTGTACTCATCCTAATTTATTTAGAACAAGTCAACTTCCTAAATCACATTATTGATCTCCAATATGTGTAGGCTCATCCCAATAATTTACTTGATGGATATTATAGAAGGAAAATCCTACTCCCATTATTTAGCCCAATAATGCCAAAGATGGGGTCATAGGCATTTGTATTTTTCTTTAATCATTCTATCACTTATTTGACATTTGTCATACATATTATTGGGCTATCAGCCGTGTGGGTCACCCCCGAGTGGGTCTAGAACGCCATTCTCGAATACTTGCTATTTTTAGCAGGTTGGGCCCAAAATAATGTTTGGGCCGCCCGACCTTCCTCAAATTGTCTTGAAAGATTATGTATCACTATTTAGATAATGTTGGGCTCTTTTATTTATTAATAAGTCCCGAATAAGTATTTTCAAAACCCGACACTAATGTACGAGTTTGAACAGTACAATATTCGATCATTAATTACGTAAAACATTAATCGTTTTACAATAGTTTGGGAATTAGAAATCCAATACATAAACTTTGAATATTTAAATCAAATCTTCAAGGACGTTTGGGTGCGGTGTCACAAGTTCACCCCCCCTTAACAGGAATTTCGTCCCCGAAATTCACAGCTCTATTCGAACAGGATAGCATACTGCTTCCTCATCAAAGCCTCTGTTTCCCATGTCTCTTCTTCGACCCGATCGCCCTTCCAAAGTACTTCGACCATTGATACATGAAACACATTATGTATCTTCTCTAATTCAGGAGTCAACTGTAGACGATATGCAACGGCCCCAATCCTTTCTATAATTCTGAATGGGCCTATGTATCGTTTCCCTCTGGTTTGGAATCGAATGATTCCTTTCCAAGGAGAAACTTTCGAGAATACCCCGTCATCAACCTTAAACTCTAAGGTTCTTCGGCGCTTATCTGCATAACTCTTTGTCTATCCTGAGCCGCTTTGAGTCCCTCTCGAATCAACTTCACCTTTGACTTGGTGATCTCGACCAACTCAGTACCCTCGGGTTTGGCCATGCCAACCTCGTCCCAGCATAACGGTGTACGGCACCTCCTCCCATACAATGCCTCGTATGGAGGCATGCCGATGCTTGCCTGATAACTGTTGTTATGGGCGAACTCCACAAGTGCTAAGTGGTTGTCCCAACTCCCTTGGAACTCCAATCAATGCACAAGCCCTCAACATATCCTCTATGATCTGTATAACCCTTTCTGACTGCCCATCCGTCTGTGGATGGAAAGCAGTACTGAACTTCAACCTCATTCTCATAGACCCCTGAATTTTGGCCAAAACGCGATAGGAATCGTGGGTCTCTATCGGATACAATGGTCATAGGAATCCCATGTAGCCTCACGATCTCATCCGTATACAATTTGGCTAACCTCTCAAGTGGGTAAGTAATGTTGATAGTAAGAAGTGTGCACTCTTCGTGAGCCTATCTACAACAACCCAAACTGCATCATAGTTCCTGATTGTCCGTGGTAAACCTACCACGAATCCATAGTCACGTGCTCCCACTTCCATTAAGGGATGGAGAGTGGTTGAAATAAGCCTGCTGGATGCTGATGTTCTGCCTTAACTTGTTGACAAGTAAGGCATCGACTGACGTACTCGGCTATTTCCCTCTTCATTCCAGACCACCGGTAACTTTCTTTCAAATCACGGTACATTTTCGTGCCCCCCGGGTGCATGGCATAAGCCGATGAATGAGCCTCCTCTAAGATGGAATTTCGGAGCTCATCATCTGACGGTACACACACTCGGTCACGAAATAACAAGAGACCATCATCTCTCCCCCTGAAATCCTCCACCGGTCCCGCTTGCATGCGTTCCCGGACCTTAAAAGTTCTACGTCAGTCTCTTGACCCTTCTTGACCTCATCAAGTAAGGTCGGTCTCACCTCGAATCGTGTCAATAAGGCACCGTCGCTAGATACATCCAATTGGGCCATCAGTGCCCTCAAACTAGTCAACAATGCCCCAGACGAACTCTTCCGATTGAGGGCATCTGCTACAACGTTTGCCTTACCTGGATGGTACTCAATAACTAGATGGTAGTCCTTTATCAACTCCATCCACCGTCTCTGTCTCATGTTTAACTCTTTCTGAGTAAACACGTACTTCACGCTCTTATGATCAGTATATATGTGACATGTCTCTCCGTAGAGATAATGTCTCCAAACCTTCAGTGCAAACACTACTGCTCCCAGCTCCAGATCATGGGTAGGATAATTCACCTCATGCTCCTTCAGTTGTCGTGAGGCATAGGCGATTACCCTCCCATTCTACATCAGTACGCATCCAAGCCCTTGGATGCTCGCATCGCTATAGACATCGTACCCCACACCCTGTTTGGGTAATGCAAGTACCGGTGCCTCGGTCAATCTCTTCTTTAGTTCCATGAACCCTTTCTCGCATTTGTCATCCCATACAAACTTAGCTCCTTTACGAGTGAGCTTCGTCAATGGTGATGCCAAAACAGAGAACTTCTCCACGAATTTTTTGTAGTAGCCTGCCAATCCAAGGAAACTACGAATTTCCTTGACATCCTTTGGTCTCTCCCATTCGGTAATGGCCTCTATCTTCTTATTATCAACGGCAATTCCCGATCCCGAAACCACATGCCCGAGAAAGCCAATTTCCTTTAGCCAAAATTCACATTTGGAAAATTTGGCATAAAGTTGCTTCTCCCGTAGTGTCTCAAGAACGAGTATCAAGTGCTCTTCATGCCCTTCCTCACTCTTTGAGTAAATCAAAACGTCGTCTATGAACACAATCACGAATCGATCCAAGTATTTATGGAATACTCGGTTCATCAAGTCCATGAATGCCGTTGGGGCGTTTGTTAACCCAAACGACATAACAAGGAACTCAAAATGCACATACCTTGTGCGGAAAGCACTCTTTGGTATGTCGTCTTCCTTAATCTTCAATTGATGGTACCCCGACCTCAAGTCCATCTTCGAAAACACAGTTGCCCCTCGTAGTTGATCAAACAAGTCATCAATCCTAGGCAAAGGATACCTATTCTTGATTGTGACCTTGTTCAGTTGACGATAGTCAATACACATTCGAAGTGTCCCATCTTTCTTTTTCACAAAAAGAACTGGTGCTCCCCACGGGGAGTGACTTGGTCTAATGAAACCATTATCCAATAGTTCTTGCAATTGGGTTTTCAATTCATTAAGTTCAGCAAGTGCCATCCGATATGGCGGTATAGAGATTGGTTTCGTACCGGGTTCGACCTCGATCACAAATTCAATCTCCCTATTAGGTGGAAGCCCCGGTAGGTCTTCAGGGAAAACATCCGGGTACTTACAAACCACCCTCACATCATCGATGTTCGTTTCCTCTTTGGTTTTGTCAACCACGTATGCTAGATATGCGTGGCATCCCTTTCTCATCCTACTTCTCGCTCTCACGACGGATATGATACAGCTGTTTGATCTCCCTCGATCACCCTCGAAGCGTAGGGTCTCCCCATCATTGCCTTCGAGTTCAAGAACCTTCGTGTAGCAATCTACCCTAGCATGGTTCCTTTCTAGCCAATCCATCCCTAGGATTGCATCGAATTCAATCATGCCCAGCGGTACGAAGTCACACGTCAAGGTTTGACCATTAACCTCCACCCCACAAGATGGATAATAACAAGTTCTTTCCACGTCATCTCCTAGTGGTGTTGATACCACTAAGGTTTGCATCAATGGTGCGGATTGCACCCCCAACCTCTTGGCGAACGCTTCATTCACAAATGAACGTTGCGCCCCGGTATCGATAAGGATTCGCGCATCCTTCCCATTAATCTTTAGTGTCCCTACATTCGTGAACCATGTAAGACATTTTTCCTACCCTCCCTACTCATTTATAGGAGGTTACAATGTTCACACGCATGTTAGGGATCAAGAAAAGGTCTTAACGTCGCAAAACGGTGCGAAAAAATCACATTTCGGCAATCTGGGTGCCAGGCACGGCGTGCCTGGGGTAGGCACGATCGTGCCTGGCTTGGAAAAAGACCCTGGGCGCTACTGCCTTGGAGACACGATCGTGCCTGCCTTAGGCACGATCGTGCCTGGGTCGGAAAAATTCACTGGCAGACACTGCCTTGCAGGCACGATCGTGCGTGCCTTAGGCACGACCGTGCCTGGGTCGGGGAAATGCGCAGGTACCTACTGCCTTGTAGGCACGATCGTGCCTACCTTAGGCACGACCGTGCCTGGGCAAAAACAGCCCGAAATGGTCCGAAATCTTCCTGGTTCGACCCTAAAGCTTCGTGCATTGATCCTAACAATTAGTGACCTCAATTTATGGACTAATTAAGGATAAAACACTAGTATACGAGAGGCGATACCTGCAACGGAATCCGGGTTAGCTTGAGCATCCTCCTCCGCCATCACATGGACTCTAGCGTGAGTCCTCCCTTGATTCACAGACGGCGCGTTGCTCGCACTTGCTCCGCCATGTTCCTTACTTGCTTGAGAGGCCCCGGCTTGACTCCGTATGCCTATAGTCGTACTACTTGAGCCCAAAGTTTGGTCGGGTACAAGTTGTGGGCAATTCGCATTCGTGTGCCCGATCTCTCTGCATCGGTAGCATCTAGGAGGGTCCCAACACTTACCCGGGTGGTGCTTCTTACAATTTGTGCACTTAGGTACTCTCGAACCTTTTGACCTCGAGCTCTGGCCACCCGAGCCTTGACTCCTCCCAAGCGATAATGTGTGTGCCCCGAAGGTTTTGTCACCCTCAACATTTGTCCTCCTAGAATGTCCTTGGGGGTCGTGGTCTCCCCATTTTCTTTTCCTTCCTAATGGTGCGTCCTTAGCTTGCCTAGCTTGGCGTTTTTGTATAAGCCTAGCACGTTCACGTTGAAGCCAATTTATGACCATGCCATTTGTTCAATGGGTGCATTATCAAGGTCCTCATCACTCAAATCATCTCCTTCGTCACCCGAAGCCTTGAGTGGTTCAGTTTTGCCATAACAAGGTGATTCTTCCTTGGTCTTAACATGACCACCACTCACGATTTGAGCTTCAAGAATTTCATGCACCTTTGGTCCTAAGGGCTTTTCTCGGTTGGCATGCCCGGTTCCACCCGGTGCAAGCCCTTCCGAGTTCTCCCTATTCATAATACCACCATCACCCTCCATCGCTGAAAGAAATAATTAAAATGAGTCATTAGACTCGTTTCAAATGTCAACTGACAGATAGGCACTTAAGACATCTCTTGGGCCAAGTCACCGCCATACCAATCGTTAAGGGCGCCATCTTAACAATTAGAGACCTTGCAACTCAAACACCAAAAGTTCTTAAGTACAAAACGTTTTTGCTCATGGTTTTCAAAAATCATTTTGAAAAGAGAATTTTGAGACTTCATTATGAAGTTTATGGACTAAGTCTCTGATACCAACTTAATTGTCACGCCCCGGACCTATCCGGACACGTCAACAACCCGCCGTACAATACGAATAGTCAACCGCAGTCCAACACATTCATATTATACAAGGCGTCTTGAATATCTTTCACACATGTACATCCATAAACAAACATAATAAGTAATTCATAACGCAGCGGAAAACATTGTTTAAAACAAAATGGCCACACATGGCTATTCATGAACACGCAGGCTCTATAGTAAAATATCCATGAGCATGTTTATTAATGTTTAAAAACAGAATGGAGGAAGCACGAACCAAGTCTTCCCTCCTATATGATCTCTCGAGCAACGAGCACAGGAAGCAAGCTCTAGCCTCAACCTGAAAAATGGTGGTGGGACGCCCCCGAAGGGGTCAGCACTCTATAGGGCTATAAAGTGCTGGTGTGGCAGGCATCTAATAGATATACAACAAGTATTTCACACACAAGACCCTCAAATAGGGTGATAATATAGTATAGGCCGTAATCTCAAATTACCCCTTTCAAAATATATACTTACTTTATATAAAGTCAAATAGCCGGCTCAAAGGCCCATGTTTGTTATAAAACATTTTCCAAAACCCCGTGACTAATGGTCACGACATACGTAGGGTCCAACCCTAATACAACTTCCCATTTCTAAAGTTCGGCTCGAGTACATCATCATGCACTCGCATCATAGATCTCCTACTTCATATAATCATACCATAGATCTCCTACTTCATGTATTCACCCCATAGATCTCCTACTTCATACAATCACACCATAGATCTCCTACTTCATACAATCACACCATAGATCTCCTACTTCATACAATCACACCATAGATCTCCTACTCCATGATATCACACTTGACACTTGAATCTCATTCAAGTTCATCACAAACAAACTCAAACCTTGAGTTTGATTCTAACACATTTAGGGCAATCCTTAACTAGCATCACAATACTATTAAGATTATTCCTACAACTCATTTATCATTAATGGTAGCCCCTCCATATCAATAGATATGTGGCAGCCTCCCATGTGTTAAACATCATCATGCAATTATACATTTACATACATATATCATACATACATGAGTTGGAAAAGTCAATTTACCATATTAGCATACTTCTATCTCACATGACTCCATATTCATCAATATGGTTTCAATTCATGATCAAGTCCATTACTTATCATTCGTATCATGTTCAAGCATATTTATTCACAAAAACATGATTTAAGCATTTAGGTAATCTCATGCATAACCTACAAGTTGTAAGCAACTAGATGTCGGTCCTCACCTTAAATGAGCTTTAAAACCTTCCTTCTCGATCCAATGACCAAAGCCTCGGCCAAAGAAGATTGGGAACTAGTTCCTTGCTTGAAAATGGGTGCTAAACAGCCTCCTCAAGTTGCTATTTCAACCCCTAATCGTTGATACGAAAACAGCCCCTAGAACGGGTGTTTTCCGGCTAACTCGATTCCTAGTTTTCCAATATTTGCATCTAGGTTAGTATCTAACCTTTACATCAATAAAATAACTTTACAAGGACATATTATACACTTGGATTAGTGTACAATAGTTCCACCAATCGTTCATATCATTTGGAAAATGAAAGGAAAGATTTTGGGATTAACAACTCACTTAGAAGAGTAAATCCGTTCCTGCGAGGTCGCGTTCTGCTCGGACGATTTGGAAGCCTTCCTCTACTCCGATTGATGCAAACCAGACCTTCACGGATTCCTCGTCTTGAGAGCTTTCTTTTGGTATCTCACACGCCTTAATTGGATTGGTATAACTCGAGATATCAACCAAACAGTCTCAGCACTCTCACAGCTCGAGTTCACAGACCCCTGCTCGCTTCAGATCGATTTTTGGATGATTACTCACTCCTCTCGAACAGAGACCACTCAATTATGAAAATAGACTTCAAAGGCTATCCAAGGACACCTTATACACCTCATTTGGACGAGTACAACTCTCAAAATGAAGGGAGACAAAACAGTACACCTGTTTGTGCGAAAACAGTGGTGGTGGCCCCAAAATTTGATTCCAATTGTGTCATGGGCAGTGCTTCTCCATGTGGTGCGGCCAAGGTGAGTCTTCTCACATATTTTCCTTGTCTTGCAGGTACTAATATCATGTGGAGTGGTTCCCCATTGATCCCAATTATTTTGGGATCCAAAATATCTATCAATACACCCAAAAATGGAAAGATGGGTCCTATTGTTTTATCTTTGTCAAACGATGTCTTTTTGTACTCATCCTAATTTATTTAGAACAAGTCAACTTCCTAAATCACATTATTGATCTCCAATATGTGTAGGCTCATCCCAATAATTTACTTGATGGATATTATAGAAGGAAAATCCTACTCCCATTATTTAGCCCAATAATGCCAAAGATGGGGTCATAGGCATTTGTATTTTTCTTTAATCATTCTATCACTTATTTGACATTTGTCATACATATTATTGGGCTATCAGCCGTGTGGGTCACCCCCGAGTGGGTCTAGAACGCCATTCTCGAATACTTGCTATTTTTAGCAGGTTGGGCCCAAAATAATGTTTGGGCCGCCCGACCTTCCTCAAATTGTCTTGAAAGATTATGTATCACTATTTAGATAATGTTGGGCTCTTTTATTTATTAATAAGTCCCGAATAAGTATTTTCAAAACCCGACACTAATGTACGAGTTTGAACAGTACAATATTCGATCATTAATTACGTAAAACATTAATCGTTTTACAATAGTTTGGGAATCAGAAATCCAATACATAAACTTTGAATATTTAAATCAAATCTTCAAGGACGTTTGGGTGCGGTGTCACATTTCTTGGGTCCAGGTCTTGACCGGGTTTTCCCGGGTCAGCCGAGTTTTTCCGGTTTGTGACCATTTCCGGGTTTTGAAAAAACCGAACCGTTTTTTTGTCCGGGTCACCGGGTTCCGGGTCAACCCGGTCGGGTCGGGTCGGTTTTTTAAACATAGGTTTTACGGCCCGAGCCTGACCTGCTTAAAAGTCTGGTCTGGCCTGAAGCTTGTTTAATAGGCCTGTTTAGCAAAAAAAATAACAAGTTCATTTAAATTCAAAATAAAAAGTGACAAATATTATTAACTCAATATAAAGTTTATCTTCCCAAATATTTACTAAAAAGTCTAATGATATGTTAGTTTTGCTTTGAATAACTAATAAGACGTTAGCTATGTAGCTTATAAATTTGTATGTATTTCAAATCTTAAAAAACTTTGAATTTCAATTATCCTAATAACTTATTAACACATTTTATATATTTAATCGAAATAGTATTCTAATTTATAATATTATAATACATGCTCCATCAAAAACACTTTATGCTTAATTTGTTATAGTTAAGTATACTAATTTAAATATTAATATAAATAATAGAAAATTAATACAAATAAATATATATACATGTATATATACATTTAAATAGGTCGGCATGTTAAGCTAAAGAGACTTTAGAGTTGGGTTAAACCTGGCCTGTTTACACAAACGGGCTTCCTTAAAAGCTCAAACCTTGCTTGTTTATTAAACATGCTAGGTCAGGCCAAGCCTTAAACAGGCCAGGCCGCAGGCCCCTCACAGGCCGTCGGGCCTATTCCCACCCCTAGATAGAATATAACAAAGGAAAATTTGAAAATAATAATCCCAACTATGGCTGGTCCGCTGACAATAATCCCAACTATTGATTATTTTTGTATAATCCCAACTGATGGAGTATATGGCCCAGGAACCCCCGGCCCATAGACCCCTACTTCTCCTACACAAGTCCATTGAGCCCAGAGAACAACTCAGACCCAAATGCAACGGCCCAAGTCTCAAAGTAGCCCAGAATACACACTGGGGTGCCTTCGGCCTCCTTGGCCGAAGGCACCAAAACTCACAGGATAGCCTTCTCTGGCATAAGAAGCTACTGGGAGAAAACGGCGAAAAACATGAGCCTTCGGCATTATCAAGCCCTCGGTATCAGAGAAGCCTTCGGCTGAACCAAGCCTTCGGTCACACAAGGCCTTCGACTACACAGGGGTCCTTGGTCACATGGAGCCCTCGGCTACACAAGGAGCCTTCGGCCGAACATGCTCAATCATCGAAGATTCCTTTTGGAGACAGCCAACCACCGCATTTAATGCCACGTCACATCCGCCAACCGCATTCGATGCGGTGAACGTACCACTGCCGGTGCCACCCGGCTGATGTGACCCCTCGGCCGTTGGATTACTGACACGTGTACTCTCATCGCATTTATTGCTGCTATAAATAGCAGCCCATTTCTCCTTGTAAACGATCAACAGCCACATCCCAACTCCACACGCTGAGTTCATTTAATAAATCGACTCTCTCTCCTCCTATTTTGCTCTGACTTCTCTCTATTTATTCCTGCAATAACCCCTCGGATAAGATACCCCCCGGGTAAATTATCCATCACCAACTATATGGACCATCCGCCAACAAGTGAATTTTAAATAGAATTAAGCGTAAAATTTAAAAGTTGAGATTAATTATAGGAATTACTTGCTATATCTCTTCTCATCCACTTTAGAAACTACATGAATTTATTTATAGAGACCATTATTAGTGGAAGGTCCCTAAAGTTGGGATTATGCTGAAATAATCGATAGTTGGGATTATTACTATCAATTTTTCCTAAAACAAAATGGCTCATTAAACTGCATGTGCTTCGTTGTTATGAAACAACAATCAGTCCATGCAATTTTCGACGCGATTTTCACTATGGGTCATCCAAAAACAGTCTCTCTATGCTTTAGCACAGGGGTAAGACTGCGTGCATCTGAGCCCCCTTACTCCAGCGTATGTGGGAGCCTATGCGGCATTGGGGTAACGATGATGGATGATGATGATGATGATGATATAATTTTTATAAAAATAGGAGCAAAATTGGAAAAGTTATAACATTTTATAAAAAAAAAGGAATTATTGGTCACATGGCAGATAGTTTTCGGAGGGAGAGCAATTGTCAAATTGTTAGGCACGGCTCTTGTGATCCTACGAGAATTTCATTTCAATATTATTTAATTTTAACTTAATAACTAAACAGGTCAATAGTGTCATGGTATGTTACATAAAGTAAAAATGGTGGTGCGCTAAGCAATCCCCTATATAAATAATATTTGCATCACAGACAAAGGTTATCGTATTATAAGGAAAAATAACTACGCCTAGAAATATAAGGAAAAACTGGGATGGTTATAAACTTAGAGCTAGAAAAAATAAGCATTTTACCCCCCCCCCCCCCCAATCCCCATCACTCTCGCATCCTATCTCTGTCCCTGAACGTGATTGAAGACATTATGGTCACCCCCATTGTCGAATTTGAACAATAGTTTTTCTATTAATTTTCATCCACTCTCCATTGACTTGAGCATGACAAGCCTAAAAACCTTCAGCTCTATTGGATCAAAAAGATCTTTACAGTTAAGGAAATCTTCCGTTTGAGGTTTCCACAACATGTAGTTGGTAACAGTGAGTATAATCATAGCTCCGAAAGATGAAGTTGACTCGTCGATGGTCATTTTAACGTTCAAAATATTTTTGGTTTTCTGTTTGAGAAACATTGGAGCAGAATTTAGATAACAAGCGGCACCATTGCGCCCGAAACGATCGAAAGTCGTAGTGTAGAAACTTCCGGGGTCAAAATACAATTTTCAAAAAGACCTGGGTGGGAATTATATTTTTTCAAAGATTGAGACACCAAACTGCATTTTTTTAAAATAAAAAAAGACCGGTGAAGTGGCGCTTACTAGGTGCTAACGTGGCAGGTGACTAGCCAATGGTGGAAGATTTGTTAAAGATATTTTGAGGTGTTAAATCATGTTTTAATTAGTTGTATTTGTGTTACATTTAGTCTAGTTAATATGATGGGCCAATTCAATGTTAGAGGCCCATTATTATTATGCAAGCCCATTTGTAAAAGGACTCAACCGGCATGCCTATAAATAGTCTAAAGGTTGAGTCTCAAAAGGGAGAATAGGAATCATCGTAAGAATTACGCAAGACATATAAGTATATAACGCATAGAGTAGACGAGAGAAGTGAGAGTTACGCATATTCATACACTGCTTTGAATTGTAAAATCATTGTGGTATTGAATATACAACTCTATTCTTCCCCATTCCATTGTTTTGATTGTTGGACAGGGAGGAGGAGGAGGAGGAGGAGGAGATCGAAGAAGAATGCGACAGAGGCGTGCAGTAGCGCGGTGACGACGATCTTGGTTACATCGGCATTCAGCAACAATGCAAGGAACAACAGCGGTGCAGAGTGAGGCGGTGGGCGGTGTGATGGCCGGCGACCTGAACGTGGCAATGTAGAATCCGAGCGACAATTTGAGGCGGAGCAACCTATCATCTTAGCCACATCGTTTTAGTTCTTTGTCGTTGGAGGGGAGATAGTCCGCTGGGAGAGGAAGAGTTTGAGCAGCCGAATTGAAGAAGGATTGTAAGTTCCAAACTTTTCAAAGTAACTTTGTGGTCATGGACTAAATTAGTCATATTTTGATCCAACAAAACTCTAGAAGTAATATTTAAGTCATTATTTCTTAAAGGCTAATTGTATTTAATTTTAAAAGACTACCTACTTTTAATTTTAAAAACTATTAAAAATCACTTTTTTTAAAAAGTAGAAGCGAAGGGAAAGATCATCCCATTTAGGGCCGTTCTAGACTTCTAGGTGTGAGGAATACATTTCCCAATTTTAAAATAAGGAATTGTGGGAAATCTTGTCCCTAATTTCGTATTGGAAACAACACTAGTCAATGAAAAGTCTTTACATTCTTAAATAGAATTTTGGAAAATAGACGGGTTATGAAATTGATAGATAATAACCCACAAATAGCCCTGGGGCTAATAAATTAAAATATGTTACTCCT